TTTGTACAACATGCCAAGTTCACACAAAGCTACTGAATAGCTAGTATATAAAGGAAATGTAAAGAAATCATTAAATACATTAACTTTTTAAATGTTTATTGCTACACTACATTTATCCATCAAAGGAGTTATGTCATGATGTATAAGCAACAGGAAAGTTACTTCCCATTGTTTTCACTATTGGGCCCTTTAGTATACTTAATGTGTTTGAGTTCGAGGCAATACTACACTGGTGTCCTCCCGTGTTTCATTTCTAAAAAGGGTTAATTAAAAAAGCAAAAATAGTGTAATGTAATAAGGTAAACAATATACTTGTATTGAATGTGCAATGTTTGTACTGAAATTAACAAAAAGAACAAATTTTTACTCAACATAGAACAAGCAACCTTTGCTCTGTTGATTGCATTTTGCAGGTGACTTAAGAATCAAGATCTGAAGTTACAATAGTAAAATGTATATACACATATATATGGTGAGATTTCCACAAAAAGAAACACTACTATAAGACTAAAGATAAAATCTGCTCTTGACAGAAGGGCATGTTTTTGTCATGGTTAATTGGTAGAAATTCCCCATTATAAGAAGGGGGAGGGAGGCCTGCTAGTAAGATAAAATTGCTACTGAGAATCTCCTTAGCACCTCCTATAAGCTGCTCCCTGTGGTCCCTGGGTAGACAGTCAATACCCTGGAGCAGGCTTCAGGAGACCTGTGGGTTAGGCAAGGTCTCTATGGATACTGTACAGTATAAGCCCACAGTCCCCTCTCAAGAAGGTATCCCTGAGGGGCCTTGAGGGGATGGGACTTTTTCCCGGGGCTGGAGAGCTGGAGATTACCATAGAGTAAGTAGCTCCTTTGCTCAAAGGAGCACAGCACAGCACACTGCCCCCGCAGGAGTAGAGAACAGTAACAAATAGGAAAGGAACTTGATGGTGTCCATGAGAGGGGCTCTAGCACCCAGTGAGAATAATTATCATCAGACAGCAGGCAATGTTCAGGGAACAAGAAGTACTAAATGGTAAAGGTTTTAACAAAAAACAACTTTCAGATAATCACAGAATAAACAACTTACTGTGTTATAAACCAATGTTACTGCAATTAAAAAAAAATTCTGATACTAAAAGTAGAGTCTTGAGTAATTTATAAAGAGTAATGAAAGGATAGTTACCTAAAGAGCCCCCAAAGAAGTATCTCAAAACCGAAAAAAAGGAACAGTAAGGGGAAAAGATACAAAATTTGGAAGGCATAAGACCGGAGAGATAAGAAAGGAGAGATAACGTGTGAATGATAGAAATTCCAGAAGACATAAATGGAGGCAAGAAAACACAATAGGACATTTTCCTGGCTTAAGATAAATTTGGTTCTGTGGCTCCCAACAGCTGTTTTAAAAAGACACAAATCAAGCACATGTTAAAACTAATTTGAAATACAGAAAACAACTTCTGGGGGAAAAAAAAAAAGGTCCGTACAAAGGACAAACACGTGGCAGCCACTGAGCACTAGATGGATCTGACTTAACATTTCCAAGTTTTAGAATTAGTTTATCAAGCATCCAGACTAATTTGACTAATTTCACATCTAGAATAGACTAATCTAATGAACTTAGATGAAAAACTCCTAAACAAAGAGTTGCCAACCAAATATACAGCAATATACAAAAAGCATTACCTCATGATCAAGTTGGCATTCCTGGAACAAATGTAGTTCATTTCAATCAAACTCAACCATTGCAATTTGTCACTATGACATATTAATGAAGGCCAAGTATGAGTTAACTAAGAATTTTTCATTGCTCTTTTTGAGATGCTAAGATCCTAAATAACAGAAGGAACGCAAAGTAGGTGAATTCCTCCATAAAATGGGAGTAGGGAAAATTTTTCTCAAAATCCAGAATATGGGAAAACAATGAAAAATGTGATTACATAAATAACAGAACAACAAAAACCCCAATCTCTAAAAACACTAAGCGAGGCAAAAATACTAATGATAAAAATGAATATATTTGCACAATTTCTTCTATTAATATACTTAACATATAAAGAACCTCTAAAAATAGAGGGAAAAAAACTAACAATCCAAAAGAAATGGGCTAGAGGCATGTGTATGAACAGTTAACAAAAAGGGGAAGCCCTCAAACACAAAAAGATGTTTAACATCATCCACTTGAAATAAAATTTTAAGTTAACATTTAAAATAGTTAACATTTAAAATACAAGCTTAACAATATACTTTCTTGCAAAGCTGTAAAATAAGCAAGCTCCCTTAAATGCTGTTTGTGAAAATATAAAATGGCTCAAACCCTCTCACAAAAAAAAAGAAAAAAGAAAAAAGTTCTGCAAAGACTACCCATTGCAGCACCATTTCTAATGAGACTAGAAGCAACCTAATTCTCCATGACTAGGGGTCCAGCTTAATAAACTGTGGTGGATGAACTTAATGAAGTATCATTCTTTAAACCAAGAAAACCATCAAAGACCACACAGGTTGTATTAAAAAAAAGACAGGAACCAATTTAAATGGCTGCCTCTTGGCCAAAAATTGGGTAATTTAAGCCATAAAAGAGAATAAAAGCTACAGTGGATTAAAACACATCATATAAATTAAAAATCCATGACCATCCATAGGTACCAGATACCATGGTATCCATACCAGAAAAATTGCTGGCTGTTTTTGGCAAATAAATAATTACACTGAATATTGGTAAACAAAAAAAACAAAATAACAGCCTGTCTCTTGTAAAGTACATCTTAGAGTAATCAAAGAATTAATGCAGAAAATTTACTCTCTCCAAAAGTATTCTTTGCTAAAAATGAGAAGGAATATTTAACTAAAATATCACTAATTTGGAAGCATTAATGAAACAATGAACCATCAATGGCTGCTATCACAAAAGGCCAACACCAACCAATATTGATACATGCTTCAGGCAGGAGTAGACAACACCTGCAAATAAAGTATTTTTCCCCAAAATGTCTCAACAGAAGCAGGACAGCCCTTAAAGCTAACTACCATTTTATAGGAAATCTACAGGACAGAGTTCAATCCACCACGGGAATGCAATAAGAAAAGCCCCAAGTGTGTGTTGTCTTCTAGACACACACCTGATTTATTCAAAAAAGGAAAATCTTTAGAGTTTTTTTAAATAGATTGTCACTGTATAAGATGGACACCGCACTTGCAATGTAGCTGGTACAATTGAAATGAACTGCATACCCCATTTAACGTGGTCATGAGTTCGTGATTAGAAAACGTGTTAATTAATCTAGCCTTGAGACTGAACCCATTAAGGGTCAAAGTAGTTTTTCTGAGTCTGAATACCAGCCCAGATGTTACTCAGTAGAAAAGACTAAGAATAAAGAGATCATCACATGAAAATAATCTAATCAATTTACAGAAACATCCCCAAGGAAAAGAATGAAAACCTATTTAACATCAGTAATATCCCTTCCAATATTCATTAAAAGCAGACTAAATCGACTTGAAATCAGGGCCTCCCTGGTGGCACAAGGGGTTAAGCACAGCACTGTGAAGTTGTCTGCAGCCTCTGCCAGGGAGCTACCCACATGGTGCAACAGACCTCTCCCGTCTGGCCCGCGTCCCCTCAGCAGTGTATTTCAGTCAGTCTGCCTGTTGTGTTCCCGCTCTGGCTCTGGCGAATCCTTTCACCCCCCCCCACGCCTCTGGCCTGTACCCCAGTTCTTGTATGCATAAAAAAAAAAAAAAAGAAAGAAAGAAAGAAATCCAAGAAGTGTGTCTAGACTTGGCACTGAAAACATTTTTCACTGAGAAATTCTAACCGGAGAACCAAAGGTATTTTCAGTCTTACTAGAAATTCAGAAGCAAATCGTTAGCTTTCAAAAACACGACTGAGGGCCTCCCCGGTGGCGCAGCGGTTGAGCGCTGGGTTGCGAAGCTGCCTGCAGCCTCTGCAGCGCCGGTTCAATCCCCAGTTGCTCCCCGGCCACTGGAGGAGGGTCCCACATGGTGCGCAGACCTCTCCTGCCGCCCGCTGCTCCCCTCAGCAGTGTACTTCGGTCCTTCTGCCTGCTCTGCTCCCCACTCTGGCTCTGGTGAATTCTCTCACCCTCCCACGCTTCTGACTGTACCCAGTGCTCGTATAAATAAACAAACAAACAAATAAATAAATAAATCTTAAAAAAAAAAAAAAGTATCCTTCCTTTAAAAAAAAAAAAAACACGACTGAAAATAAGTGAGAATATTAAGCTCGGTAGTTTCCACGATGTCCGGCGCTAAAATTTACTTGCAGTTTTCAAAACTCTGCAGGCTTTACCGGGATCCGCACACCCGAGGCCCGCCCCTAACCTCAGGCTCAGCCCTGGCACCCGCCCGGTTCCGGGAAGCAGCGGCGGCGGCCGCACGGTAACTACCCCTTCCCGCGCGACCGCCGCGAGTTCTTTTCCCGCCACGCACCCGACCCACAGGGGCGGGCGGGCAGGTGCACCCGGCGGCCCACAAATAGTTGTGAAAACTACGGGCGAAGGCACGTTCGTTGGTCCGCGGGCCTGCGGGGAAGCCGCGAGGGACCTCACGTGGGAGGCCGGCCGGGTCCCACAAGACGCCAGGGGAGGGGGCGGGGGGGGCAGGTTCCCCTGGGCCTGAGGATCGCCGGGCGCGGATCTCCGAGAGCCCCACCAGGGCCCAGACCAACAGGGACGGGCCTGTGGCCTCCCAACCGCTTCCACAACGGAGCAGGGCGGGTGGGGGAGGGGTGGGGCAGCGCGGGCCGGTGGGGGCCCTGCGGCTCGCGCGCGTCACCCGGGCGGCCCCGCGCCGCCTTCCGTGAGCCACGCGCGAACACGGGTGGCAGCGGGCGCTGCGCGAGCGCGGCCGCCTCCAGAAGTTTCTTGGAGACAGTCAGCCATCAGCGAAAAATATACTCAAAGACACAAAGAGGAAAGGACAAGGAAAAAGAAACAGCCGATGAAAGTCCGCTCAGCATTAGCGAGGAACCAGGCAAAGGCAGCTAAGGACCACGAGCTCACCCAAAATGCAGGCACAATACCTCTAGGGGCCGGAGGCGAACGCAGACGGCGCTCAGGGCACACGCACGCCGCGGCCGAGAGGAAGAAAAGGCCGCAGAGACCGAAACTGGAGGCTAGAAGAGCGGGAACGTGGGAGGGGGGAGGAGTCAGCTCCCGACCAGTCTTGTGCAACTCCGGGCCGCGTTCAGCCACGTGAAAGTAGAGCTTTCACTTTTAAATTAACCCCCTCTCAGGCCGTCGCCGGGACCCCCACCCGGCTCCGCGCCCCCGGGAGTCGACCTGAGGCACTCCTTCCCTCACTCGCCGCCGGCCCTGCCTCCCCCCACCCCAATTCTCAGGCCCGCAGTCCAAACCCCCGCCCTCGACCTCAGGCCTACCTCCCCCGCCCCTAAATCCTAGCCCAGCGGCACCCACCCCCCATGGGCCCAGGCCCGAATCGGCTTTTGACCGCAGACCTCGACTCCTTGGACACCCCCCGCCCCCACTCAACTCAGCCCCGCGGTCCCCACCCCCAACGGGCCCAGTCCCGGATATACGGGCCTCAGCCCCGCCGCCCGTCCCACTCGTCCCGCCCCTCACCTCGGGCTCGGAGTGCTCCCGCTCCCGCTCTTCTTCACATCCGGCACCTCGGTTGTCCCTCTGCGCACCTAAAGGAGGGTGGAACGCGGGGGGACTTGGCAGTTGTAGCGGAGGCAGTTGAGGCTTGTTTACCATCACCATGGGAACCCCTGGCAGCGAGCCCTGGGCGGGGCCAGGCTCGCGGCGGGCCCAAGGCCACGACTCCCGCCCGTCGAGCGCACGCGGCGCTTCCGGAAGCCCTTTCGCTCACGGCGTGCCCACCCCAGCTCGGTCCAGCGCCCCAGCACTCAGGAACGGCAGCCCCGGGAGCCCGTTTCCCTCCCCCCCACTACCCGCCGCCGGCGTAACCGCGGGCCTGTCCCTGTGCCGAACCCCACCTTCTTTTCTAGGAAGACGCCGCGCAGTTCTTCTTCCACGACGAAGCCGGAAGGACGCAAAGACCGTGGCGGGGCGGGGCCTCCGCGGCGACCGTCCGGGGGCGGGGCCTCGGAGGCGCCATTGTGTCGCACCCCGAGCGGAGCCGGGGATTGGCCGGCGGGCCGCGGGGCGGGCTGGGGCGGAAGCTGGTCTGGTGGGGCGCAGGGCGGGGGCGCGGAGCGGAGCTGTTTGCTCGCTGGCCGCTGGGGGGGAGGGGAGGGAAGGGCGCCGGGGGCCGTGCTGGGCGCGCGGGAGCCCCGGGGAGCCGCCTGACGGAGGCGCCCCACGGCGAGCGCACTGGACGCCTGGCCTGAAGACCAGAGTGAGAGGAAAATAATATCCATTTCCTGCCGAAGAAGCCGAAAACACCAGAGACGATAAAGGCACTTCTGATGTTTAGGGAGGGATAAGCGGGTTGACTGAAGTTACTCTTGAGTTTGCGATTATCACGTGGGCTGAGAAAGCTCAAGGTCTCCGGCGGTGGCTCGTGAAGGCAGGGGTTCAGTCACAGAGCACCATTAGCAGATACTTGGAAATGGCTACTCCTGAGGCATTGAAGCAGATTTTCTTGTTCCAGGGTTAATAATTATAAACCATTATTTTTTTTGGAGGCTCCGTTTTAATTCCCCCAGGACCAGATATCATGATCAGTGCTCCGGAGCCCACTGAAATTATCCCAGTTAGTCAGTCTAAACCTGTTTGCCCTGTCTAACCTTTTACTTCCAGCAAAAACCCAATTAAAACTGCTTGCCCTCTGCCTTGAACACACCCGGTGCATTTCTTGAGTGACCCTCGGTGGCCTGAGGAGGAAAACATTAAGAGGGGGAATAAAAAAAAATAGTAAAACTCTAGTTTCTCTTGATCTGCATCTGAGCACTCTTATCTCACTCAAGGCAATATGGTTAAAATAATTCCTTCCCACCATAGCTTCTGTTTCAAAACCATATGGTTGGATGGGTGGGAAGAAGCCGGCTGAGTACTAGGCCCTAAGAGAGATGAGTAGGCCCTCCTGCCTCCACTCCTTCACTTCAGAGCTCATATGAATGAAGCCAGAGTTGGGCAGGGGTTCCTGAACCTTCATATGGCAAAAGAGATGATAGGACAAGTGTGGGCCCAAGCTATGTAGCCTCCAGTCTTCCTTCTGAGTGTTGACTATATATTTGTTAAAGTTTTATATTTTTATCACCTGGGGTTTGTTAGTGGCAATGTGCCTTTTTAATGTTTACATTTTGATCACTTTATGAAAAAAAAAAAAACTCCAAGCTTTATTCTGGAAAAATGGAACAGATTTGAGATCTTCATAATGGTTCTTAATAATGTCTTAATAATTGATTTCGGGGGTACTCGGTGGCCTAGAGGTTAAGTCTCAGCTATCACACTAGGGCCTGAATTCCAGCCCCAGCCAGGGAGGTGACCTACATGGCGTAGCAGACCTCTCTGTCTCCCTGGCTGCTCCCTCAGCAGTGTATTTCAGTAGCTCCTCCTGTTCTGCTCCCAACTCTGTCTCTGGTGAATGTGCCTGCCACCCACACCTCAGGCCTACACCCCAAGTCTTCTGTGCAAAAGTAAATAAAACCTTTAAAAAATATAATGTTGACTTTGAAATTTTCTCACCTGTCACAGGAGAGAAAAGGAGGGGGAGGGTTCTTAAAGATGAGTAAAGTGGTTTGGTATGTTGGTAACAATGAGAGAGGAAAAGAGTAGGACTTGCTCCACTTCTGTGCAAGGAAGAAGCAGCCAAACTCTTCTGCGTCATACAATCTCATCAGGAACACTAAGACTTCTAATCTCTTGCTCTTGTTGGGGCATCCCAAGAAATAGGCCACATGGGCTGCTACAAAAAAACTAGGAGTGATAATTTCATGCTGCTGCAGTCTACCTAAGCTTCAAAGGGTGTGATCCAGAATTCTCTATGTATTTCAGGTTGGGGAGTGGGGCTAAGAAAGAGATTCTTTTGTGAGTTTTGTGGGGTCGGAACCTGTCACTCCTTTTTCTACTTGATGTGCATTGCCTTGGAACTGCCCCACCTGGCCCCGACTCCTTTAACTTCTCTGACTCCTGGGCTAAGTGTATGTTTAGCTCTCTGAGAAAGTCCTAGCACCAACCTCCTCTCCACGCCCCCACCTCTACACACACACACACACCAACAAGGAGGACTGAAGTGAAGTGAGTTTCAGCTTGTGTGCTCTGACTTGTGAATTCCACCTTGTCCTTGGTGCCCCCTCCTTCACATCCATCTTCCCCTTCATGACAGAGATGACAACCAGCTCCTGTAGTGACATAACATGGTCTGTGTAAGTCAGTACCCCTCACACTTACATGGTCAAAAGTTTTTTGGAAACTTTCAATTTAAGGGACATGGTACAACAAAAACGATTTTGTTGCAGGTTGATGGATATAAACAAGAATGAAATTCCTGCAGCCTTTTTCTAGTCACAAAAACATTGCCTAACTTCTAAAGAAAGACCCAAATACTTCTAATATTAAACAATAATTTGCATTCCTTTATTTTCCAACCCATTTATTCCAGTTCAGGGTCTTAGAAGAAGGCGGCCTATCCAGGCAGCTCAGGATGAATGTGGGAACCCACATCCACAGGGTACTCACATGGTGCATCACAGGGTACACTCACACCCCTTCTGTGGGACTGGGACAATTAGACACTCCAGTCACCCTCACGTACACATTTTCACGATGTGGAAGGAAGCCAGGATACCCAGAGAAAAATCCACCAAGACATGGGGAGAAGGTGCAAACTCCACACAGACAGTAGACCCTGTCGAGAATCAGCATTATAACAAAATGACAGCATTCAAGGACCTGAGGTGCGCGTTTCCTGGTGTTCCTGTTTGCTCTTTGAACCTTGTGAGATACAGAAGGCAACTGAAAATGGTTAGTTGTACTTGTGCAATAGATGGTGCTTAGTGACATGACTGAGTTCTCACTGCCCTCCTTACCACAAATGGGAAAGGTACATCACCTGACCTGACATTTAATTGTTACCTTCCTGCTGTGTGGCAGTAGAGGTTTTTTGTTTGTTTTAAAAAGTAGCCCAGAGTATACAGTCATTCCTAGAATGCTATATCCTGGTATTGTGATTAAAATTTGCAATGTGGGGGCCTCCCTGGTGGTGCAAGGGTTAAGACACAACCTACTAAGCTCAAAGCTCCCCGCAGCTCTTACAGCCACTGCAGCATGAGATCCCCCCCACCCCCAGCAACCCACATGGTGCATCAGACCTCTCCTGACTTGCCCGATGCTCCCCTCAGCAGTATATTTCAGTAGATCTGCCTGTTCTGTTCCCCACTCTGTCTCTGGTGAATTCTCTCACCCCCTGCAGCTCTGGCCAGTACCCCAGTTCTTTTATGTATAAATAAATAAATCCTTAAAAAAATCAAATAAAATTTGCAATGTGTATCTATGTACATTAAAAAGGTCTAGAAGGATGTACATAAACAGTACTCAGTGGAGTTGTGGGAGACTGTTGACAATGATGTTCTTTAAGATACTGTAGGGTCTCCCTGGTGGCTCAGGGGTTGGGGACAGCACTATCAAGCTATCACCAGCCACTGCAGCACAAGTTCCATCCCCTGTGGACAGGGAGCAACCCACAGGCAAAGCAGACCTCTCCTGCCTTCCCCACTGCTCCCCTCTGCAGTGTGTTTCGATAGATCTACCTGTTCTGCTCCCCACTCTCTCTGGTGAATCCTCTCGCCTTTTGTACTTCTGGCCTACACCCCAGTTCTTGTATGCATAAATAAATAAATCTTCAAGAAAAAATAAGATACTGTATGTAGATCTGCAACCAGAGGAAGTTGTCAAAGGGGAACTTAAGAACATAAATAAGGAAAATGTTTGTGACCAAAAGAATGAAGGTATCCTAGAGGAACTGTTAGCAAACAACACTAAAGGAGTCTTGGAAATACTTCATGACTTTAAAAATGCATAGGATAGGGCCTCCCTGGTGGCACAAGGGGTTAAGCTCAGCGCTGTGAAGCTATCCTCAGCCTCTACAGCACTAGTTCTATCCACAGCTGTCCAGGGAGTTAACCCACATGGTGCAGCAGACCTGTCTCGCCCACTGCTCCCCTCCGCAGTGTATTTCAGTCAGTCTGCCTGTTCTGCTCCCTGCTCTGTCCTCTCTCTCTGGTGAAGCCTCTCACCGCCCCCCTCACAGCTCTGACCTGTACCCCAGTTCTTGTATGCATAAATAAATCTGTCAAAAAAATGCATAGGATAAAATGTTGGAAGATGACTCAGATTTATAAACAACAGTTTGCTAGGGTACAGAATAGATGTTTGCTGGGCCTCCCCTGTTGGTGCAGCAGTTGAGCGCTGCCTCTGCAGCGCCTGTTCATTCCCCAGCCACCGGCAAGGGTCCCACAAAAAAAAAAAACAAAAACAAACCAGAATCCTATGATGGAAAGAGGCAAGCAATGTTCAGACTACTGTTGGTAAGTTTTACAAATAAAAACTTTTAATTCTCAATGTTTTTAAAGTATTAAGTTACAGAATACTAAATAAATATTAGTTTTAGTGTTGCTTTTATTTCCTCATATACTTATTTTGTCATTGTGTGTGTGTGTGTTTTTTTTTTTTTTAAACTATTTTGGGCTGGTTCCTGTTGCTTTTTTTTTTTTTTTTAAGATTTATATATTTATTTATACATGCACTGGGTACAGTCAGAAGCGCGGGAGGGTGAGAGAATTCACCAGAGCCAGAGCGGGGAGCAGAGCAGGCAGAAGGACCGAAGTACACTGCTGAGGGGAGCAGCGGGCGGCAGGAGAGGTCTGCGCGCCATGTGGAACCCTCCTCTGGTGGCGGGGGAGCAGCTGGGGATCGAACCAGTGCTGCAGAGGCTGCGGGCAGCTTTGCAACCCAGTGCTCAACCGCTGCGCCACCGGGGAGGCCCTGTCAGTGTGTTTTTAATGTTTTGGCAAAAAAATCTGAAGGTCACAGAACAATTAGTTTTTCCCTTTGAGAATTGTGTGCTTTGTGGGGTCTCAGTTTGCATGGTCACTTTTATGG